ATTGTTAATCTCCTGACAAGTCCCTTTTTGTGGCTGAATAGCCTAAACTTTTCATCTTTCTGAGGCTTTAGTAAAAGGTTATACAGTCACACCCTCAACGTTTTCTCCTGAGCAAGCATTCATGACAGTGAATCTCTTAATATTGATTTCACCACCCCTCCCCCAATCTGAAGAGACTGAGAATTTTCAAAATCATCAAATCTTGGTTCTTTTTGTTTGTTTGTTTGGGTTTTTTTTAGTAGTTCTTCCCTTAATTTTTGTCTTCTCACATTTTATTACATTCAGGAAGAATAAACAGGACAGCACCTTTAACACTTTGCTTAGAAATCAGCTATATAACCAAATTTATCACCTACATTTCTGCTTTTCATGTAACTACAGGAGACAATTTTTCTGAGCTTTCTGCCACTATATAACAAGAATCCCTCTTCCTCCAATTTTCAATAGCACACCCTTCCCTTCATTGTGAGCCCTCAGTCACAGCATACTTAGTGTCTAGGTATCTGTTCAAACTAGGCATTTTCTATTCTGCTTATCAAAATTCCTCCTGCCTCTGCCCATAGTGTGGTTCAAAGCCACTTGTGGATTTTTAGTTATTAGTTTTCTGTACCATATAACAGATTACCACAACCTTAGTGGCTTAAAACAACATGTATTTATTACTTCACTGTTTCTGTGGATCAGGGATTCAGGTGTGTCTTGGCTGAGTCCTCTGTAAGGGCATACAGTCAAGGTGTTGGTAAAGTCTGCAATTGTCATTTGAAGGCTTGACTGAGGAAGAATTCCCTTCCAAGTTCACTCAGTTTGATAGCAGAATTCATATTTATTTCGACTAAAAGACTGAGGGAGCTAGCTTCTTGCTGGCTATTGGCTGGAGGCCTTCCTTAGCTCCTTGCCATGTGGGCCTCCTAAGATGATAGCCTTTTACTATTTCAAAGCCAGTAAGAGAGGTCTCTAAAGCAAGTCTGCTGGCAAAGACAGGCAGGTTATTATAAAATATTACATAATCCTGGGAGTGACTCCCAGGAGCTGGGGGTAAAGAGGGCAAACTTCTTGGAGTCTAGGGCTCTAACTCCATTTCAGTGAGAGAATTCTACTTGAATCTGTTCTAAATATGCGGATTCTACCTTATGAGAGAGCTTTTCAAATTCAAAGAATCTCCATTGTCTTATTTGATATGCCCTATCCCAGAACTATATTTTTCCTACAGAAATTATATTGATCATTAAAATAGCACTGGACTAGGGGCGCCTGGGTGGCTCAGTCGTTAAGCGTCTGCCTTCGGCTCGGGTCATGATCCCAGGGTCCTGGGATCGAGTTCCGCATCGGGCTCCCTGCTCGGCGGGAGGCCTGCTTCTCCCTCTTCCATTCCCCCCTGCTTGTGTTCCTGCTCTCGCTGTCTCTCTGTCAAATAAATAAATAAAACCTTTAAAAAAAATTATGTAAAATAGCACTGGACTAGTTAAATTTAAGAGATTTATTAAACTCTAATATCCACTCTGATACATGCCAGTTTGGCAACTTTGAACAAGTCCCCTAAGCATTCTGGCCTTTTTGTTTCTTCATCCATAAAATTGGGAGTTTGGACAAAATGTTTCTTGATCCCTTTCTATCTCTCAGCAATGTAAATTACAGCCATCTATACATTTTGTTGTTAATCACTTCATTTCCGCTTCTACACTTACAGGGGAGAGACAATAAGATAATGCTCTATTATACAAAGTTTGTTTTGTCTGATCAATGACAAAGATTTCTGATCATTAAAAGCAAAACATATATTTGTACTGAAAAGGAACTTGACGGTATTTCTCCAGCATCGGAAAGATACATGGGAGTTACATGTTGAACACTGCAGTTTTTATTTCTGTTACTTGTCTTCGAGAAAGGAAATGAAATTAGACATAAGAGATTGGAACTTATTTTTATAAGTTCTGTCAGTGCAAAAGAGTCTTCCCCAGTCAATTTGAAGAGACAACATTTTTGTATCTTAAACCACGAATCATAGTTTTTAACCTTTGTGTTTTCAGACTTTATGGAGCTGAGATGTCTCTTTAGTGTCTGTATAAAACAAGTGACAAATTAGAAAGTGAAAATCAACTTCTTTCATTCCCACGCCAGGGACCTCATCTGTTTTTGTATTGCCTTGAGCTTTTTCACTCACGGATACAGGAGTCTGAATCAATGAAGAGTTCTTTATCCTCATACCTGTAGTCTGAACTCGCTGCCATATTTAAAAATGTATAATTTTGCTGTATGCTGTCAGAACTCAGCCCAGAAACTACAGACACATTCACCTTCATTCTCCATAACATTCTAAATATTCATTTCCTTTAGGCAGTGGTTCCAAATTTGCGGTCAGCATGAGTTAAAAACTTTCAATGTTCTTTTAATTCTTAGTTGTCACCTATCCTGCCTTCAGGATTCCAACCCCTTCTGTCCAGTTTCCACAATGAGGGTCCCTGAACAAAACTCTATGAATACTTAAATGGCCAAGTTTCTAGAGCTATGTCAGGCTAGCATGAGCTCTCTGATGTATGGGTGACAGGCAAGGACTAAATTGGCCACATTTGCTGAATTATCCAAACCCATAAGGGGCAGGATTCCACCTGGTTGGGATCTTCTACTGGAGTAAACTCAGGAACCAGCTTTTATGAAATGAAATGGGCTGTAAGGGAACAGCCAAAGGGACGGCAGATTTTGTGTTCAATGACCGTATGGTTTTCATTATCTTGTTCTCAACGAAGAATTCATCCAAAGAACAACCAAATGAAAGCAATGTGTAAACCATGTCAACCCATCCTTGGATGAATGTGTCACATTTGCTCTATTGTCTAGTGGTGATTGTGCAAAGGTGGGGAAAGGAGAGAGGAAGAATTAAGAAAAGGAAAGGTAGTGCGAAAAGAAGGTACAGTAGGAGCAAGAGAAAAGAAATGTGTCAGCCATTCAGCTGTCTCATTATGTAGCTTCCCACAGTCACCAAGAATGTAATTCATCCTGCAGGTGCAAACATTGTTGGCTTTCTCATAGACTCTTGACGGATGGACCAGATGTATGTTTCCTTACCCCAGATGCTCTTTAAGAATACCGGCAATGAGATAGGGGATTGTGTGCACCTGAATCAGCACATTCACTGAGTCTTACTTGTCTCATTTCTTGTTTAAAGAACAAGTGATGTTGTGCACAGAGCAACAAAAACTAGGCAGAGGGTGTTTTGTTTCGTTTTTTTAATACAGAAAGATGGCCAATCTAAACACCTTTTTGAGTCACTTCTTATAACTGCCTCTGAGATAAATATGACACGACTGCCTTGATTACTCATCACCAAGAGACACATTAGTGGACAGTGATCAGAACACATGACAATATTGCATCCTGAAATAAAATTCATCCTTATGTTTTCTACAAGTTTTTCAAGAATTTAAGATGGATTTTTCCACTGTCAATTAAGGGGGAAAAGAGATTTTTCCAAGTCATTTGAATAGATAATATAGTAGAAATAGGAATGTCCATTCAATCTGAATCAGTGGCCCCTCTCCCCTCCCTGCTCATTAGCTCCCACCAACTTTGAGGATCCAAAATCCCAAACAAAACTGACTCTTTTCTGGTTGAAGTTCCATTGACTCTTGGCAAAAAGCAACTTCCTGGTTCAAAGAAAAAAGGCTTATAAAAAAGCTCACAAGGCTTCTTAGACATCAAATGAGTCTTACGAAACCACATTTTGATGAGCTAAGTGTAAATGAATCAGAAACACATGGATTAAATTTCCCTTGAAATACACATGGGTTTGAAAATCAAGGAAAAAGTGTTTAGCCAAATGTGTTTTGGGTTTTCTTGAACTGAAAACATTTGAAAAAAGTTGAGGCATTTGCTAAACCCTAATACACTGTTGTGTTTGCTCAACCCTCCTTTAAATCAATTAAATTTCCATGAGGCTTCCTCCATTCCCTTGTGGTTTGTCTTGTCACCCCTGTCTTGACACTTTATAGACCAAACCAAGTTCCCATTGAAAAAATAGACTGTTGTTCTAGATCCACTTAAATATGAGGGAGCTATTAAAAAACCCAGTGAATCAGAGACATTAAGGGATGGAAAAGCACCCATTAGGTCATGTATTCTATCCTGAGGGTTGGAGCACATGCACTCACGGCTCTCTAGTGCTTTATCCAGTATAGTTTTAAATGTCTCAAGTGACAGGATTTCCACCACCTCCCCTGGGAGAATATTGTGCATTCTAATAGATTTTGCCATTAGAAACCACGCCTAAATGTGTAACGGAGGCACAGTGGGATGACTGAGTGGGGGAGGAAAAAAAGGTATTATGGATAATTAACTCTTTCACTACTCTGTATCAGTCACTTGTGGCATGTTCAGTAACTTGCTTTGGCATTTCAATACTATGGAATGTGCTGTCTGTGCACCTTACTACGTTACTTGTTTTCACGCAATAAAACCAGTATTTTGTTAAGGGTATAAAAGAATGCCTATTTTAATGTAAGACAAAGCTCCACAATTAACAGATCCATCACAATAAAACTATGAAAAGTCATAAATATATCTTATTACCTGATAATATTGTTTTAATATTCCTTAGGTATACAGAACTTTGAATGGCAAGATTTTTATTGATCAAGAAATGATGTCTAAATGGCCCTGACTGGAACCTAAACACACACACTACCTGTATATGTCTTATATTACCTACCTACTCTCCAGACTGTCTTCCTGCTAACATCTTTTCTTTAAGCCTCTTCACAGCAAACTGAACTTATTTCCCATTTCTTCTGCTCCTAGGCAGGCAAATGTGTATGTCAGGCAATGTCTATCTGTCTTCCTAGATAGAAAGGAAAACCTAGCTTGCAATATAACTAACATGTTTCCAGAGGTCTTATGGCAGAGTTTACATTAATTTGCTCTAGTTCTCATTCTACTTACAAATGAGTTATAAGTCACATAATGACTTACATGGCCTGTCATAGTGCTACTGTGCTGACCTTTTCCAGATTCTGCATTGGGAACTGCTGACAGGCATACCTCTTCCCTGCCGGCTACTGCAACCTATAAAACTTAACCAGTGAAGTGGCAAGAAGAATCAGGTAAGGGGAATGGAAAACGGCATGATATTCCTGACTTCTCTTTTTAATTTCTCTCAGATATGAGGGGGCTTTTCATGTTTCACACAATCTTTTTTTTTTTTTTTTAAGATTTTATTTATTTGACAGAGAGACACAGCGAGAGAGGGAACACAAGCAGGGGGAGTGGGAGAGGGAGAAGCAGGCTCCCCGCTGAGCAGGGAGCCCGATGCGGGGCTTGGTCCCAGGACCCTGGGATCGTGACCTGAACCGAAGGCAGACGCTTAATGACTGAGCCACCCAGGTGCCCCTTTCACACAATCTTTTATTTTCCTTTGAAAATGGGCATTTTCCTTTCCCCCAACCCTTTTCTTCATATTATCTTGCCCCTCTGTGTGCATTTCTGGGTCAGTCATACAAAATGAGTCCCCTATTGGGGTATAGAGTTGAGACGTTTGTATCTAAGTTGCTCTTACTCTACTGTTTTAAGGTTTGGTGTGGGGGGAGTAGGTACTGAGATAAATAGTTGTCAAAGTTCTACATTCATTTGATTATTATCACCCTGTGTTTCTCAAAGATATTTTAAATAATACTTAAAGCCAAGTACTTGCTTTTCACCTACTACATTCTGCACTTAATAATACTTACCTTAGCAAACAGAACTGGGCCATCTTCCTCCCTATGTTACTAATGTTACAGCAAAATGTAAGGTTGCTCTGCTCAGACTGTTTATATTAGTGCTACAGCTTTGGTTATCATGGTATTTTCCTACAACAGATCCAGCTCTCCGTTTGACATTTTTTCTTTAATCTTCTAAATCAACCCTCATAGCCCTTTAATAAGAGTGTTACTTTTCTCTGAATTTCTTCTAATGGTTCCCCTTTCTCTCTTGCTTAAGGGGATTGCTGTTAATATTTAACAATTTCAAATTTCTGTTTTTAAAAGAGGGTATTGGATTTTTGGTATCCAGGCTGCTTTAAATTTATATCAAATTTTTCATAGCAAAGACTGAAAAACACATATACAATTGTCATTTGGTAGCAACCAGGACCAAAAATGGGGAGGAATGCTGTTTTTCTTTCTTCTTTAAAAATTATTTGATAGTCAAATGATTACAAACAGAATAAGAACAATATTTTCAATCGGGTTACTTAATTCTGTATTCTAATCTGAATTTGGTAAGTTTCTAAGTAAAGGGGTATTTATTTTACCATTTAGAAAATGCTTTAAATCATGTCTCATGTTCAAAAAACTGAGACATTAAGGGCTCAGTTCTTCATATAGAGTTAAATTCTGAGATTATGGTAAGCATACGATGCATGCTGCCATGTTATGACCACTAGCTTGTTTTTTTCATTAATGGCAAAAGTGAAACCAGATTCTGTTATGTATACAATGCTTTGTCTTCAGCTTACACAAACTTGGTACAGTCAAAAAATCTATCAGGAGGACCTGAGGATGAGGCTATGTTCAACTAAGTTCAAATATACATATTTTACTTTCTACTTGTTATATAATGGATACCTTTAAATAAATGTCACCACCAATTCATCTTAATAAGCACGTCAGATGACTCATTGTCTGAGAGGAAATTCAAATTCAATATTTGTTTCTTTAAAATGCTTTTATTCTATCTTACAAATACATGCTATTTGAAAAGAAGATATTAGTAAGTTCTCGAAAGCCAATATTTTCTATGCTACAATCATTCCATAGACATTGGGAAAGAGAGAAAATATTTATAAAGCATTTAGTGATGAGTAATTCACAAGGAAATAATTATAAATACAAGTCAAACAAATTGGCAATTGTTTGCATTTCAAATTAGAAATCACATAAAATGAAGCATTGCTCTGATTTGCTTCATGAGCATTTTAGGGAAAGCTATTTCTACCTACATTTGTGAGTCTCACATGGAGGTCTAGCTGATAGAACATTAGCCCGAGAGTCTGGATTTCATAAAGTCTCTCCTGGCTCTATCAGACCTCACTGTGTGGCCTGGTGGAATTTGCTCTGGATTTTCTATATTTCAGTTTCCTCATCAGTGCAGCTGGGGATAAAAAGAAATTTTTAAAAATATGTTAAAGGTGTTAATGGTCAAGCATGCTAACAATTTATTAGGACCGAAGCATGTTTTTCACAACAAATATGTTTTCCCTAAAGTCACTGATACTCCTGATAGACTCAATTCCATCTAGACTTTTTAGATAATCATGAATGTCTCCTTAAGAGATGAAGAAGCATGCATAGCTATTCAAGAGATGAGGAAATTCGGCTGAAGAGGTAACAAGACTGACCCAGAGCCACTACAGATATCCAAAAACCTAGCCAATGCCTTGTTTATAGAACAAATATTACTTAATATGATCTTATAATGTTCAAACTACATTAGCCGCAGACAGACTTTCCTTGGTTATTAACTCCTTAATTGATCATATGAGCACTATCTCCTTGTCCTTATCCTATATGAATACCAAACAGCAAAAAAGGTAAAGGTTTTAAGTCTCTTTGCAACAGGCATGCTTACAAACCACAAAATACTCAAACTTATTTGTATCTCAGCCAATGGCATGGAGAAGAGTGAGTGACCAGGGATGGAGATAGGTTATAATATATAGACAAAGTCACGGGAGCCCTTGAGTAATTCAAAATGTGATGTTTCTCACCACACAGACAATCCAATATTAAAATATAAGTTATGTAAAAATACACAAGTGGCTAATTAAATTGTGATCCTGCTTTCATTTGAGCCATGTATGACTCAGTGGACCCCTGCACAGAGGTGATAGCATGGACTCTTATGAAAGGGAGATCATGTTCCCAGGGTTATCTGGAGAGTTCAAACCCACATTTGTTGTCCTTGCTTCCTGTTAGCATCACCCTAGATTTTGCACCCATTATTAGTAGTAGTTATGTTCAAATAAGTTGGGAAGATTTGGTAGAACTCCACCTTTCAGTCATTTAACCACTGAATATATATACTTCCTTTTATGTCTTGTGGCCTTTTTTTTTTTTTTTGGCCTTTTGCAATAAACATAAATTATTTTTTTTAATATTTTTAATGGGAAGTTAGTTACTGAATTTCTGCTTGCCAAGAAGGAGGATGAACTTTTAACTTGCACAAAATGCTTCTTGACATTATCCACTATAGGAACTGTAATGATATCAGTAAACACATGAAAAACTGAGATGCAACTCTTTCCAAGAAGCATTAGCATCTACTTCAAAAGTTGGTAGCTGTTAATAGATGACTATGCCAAAGACGATTATCTAACAAATGTAGCTAAAGAAGGTAGGTTTTCATATTTCTCTAAAAGCAAAGCTTTTCATTTAGATCAAATTAATGTTCATTAATCACTAATTTTGCTCATGCTAAAGTCAAAATTTTCTTGTGCACATAAAAAAGGGAAAAGAATAGCTGCTAATGTATTGACTTTATTGGCAGCACTCTGCAAATGGTTAAGTGATGTTAACTTTATACCCCTTTTATTAGATGTTTTCAAATGACAATTCTAATAGTTCAATTTTTCTTGCATTTATAAAATCAAAAGATTAGAGTAGTTCATTTTGCTGAAATAAAGCATCTGGCATTGTAAATTTAATTTAAAAATTTCAATAAATAAATGTTATTTGTTTTTGTACTGATAACATAAATATGAATATTGGTGAAGAAAAGTGTCAGTGTCAGGTTAAAAAAAAAATCTTACTCAATTAGGAAGCCTATGGAATAGAAATATACTTGGAATTGCCTGTGGTGATCACATAGTTTATACTTCTGCTTCCAAACAACTGTGAAAATCTCCAATTAAAATAGAAGCAGCTGTTGGCAGACTTTAGGTTGGTTCTTTTCTTCTGCACAGTAGGACTGACTAAAATACAGAAATTTTTGTGTTGTTACTGACGAATTAAACAACAACAACATGGTAGTACATGCTTCCCTTTTTCATTGTCCATCAACAAACAGATTCAGATTTTAGAAATGTTTTACCCTTTATCCTAAGAAGAACTGCTACCTAAGGAAACCTAAGTATTCTAACATGGTCTTAAAACTCTCTTATAATTTTTGTATCACTGTTAAAGATGAGAACATAAACAGAAAATCTTAACATTTGTATGCAACCACAAAAGACCTCAAATAGCCAAAGTAATCTCTTTTTTTTTAAAAGATTTTATTTATTTATTGGAGAGAGATGTTGAGGGGGCGGGGGTAGGAGCAGAGGGAAAGGGACAAGCAGACTCCATGCTGAGTGCGGAGCCCAACACGGGGCTCGATCCCACGACCCTGAGATCATGACCTGAGCTAAAACCAAGAGTCAGACACCCAACTGACTGAGCCACCCAGGTGCCCCAAGGAACCAAAGTAATCTTAAGAAAGAAGAACAAATCTGGAGGCACCACACTTCACGATTTCAAAGTATATTACAAAGCCACAGTGATCAAAACAATGTGGTATTGGCTTAAAAACAGACACAAAGACTGATGGAACAGAATAGAGAACCAGAAATGAACCCATGCATATATGGTCAATTAATTCACAACAAAGGAGCCAAGAACATACAATGTGAAAAGAATGTACAATGTTCTCTTCACATATTGAAAAGTATGTGAAAACTGTGTCTGTGAGCATCTGTGCTTTATCTCAACTTATTTTGTTCATCTGTTAGCAAGATGTGTCCAAAGGTATCAGAAAAGCCTGAGAGAGGCTATTTTTTTTAGTCTGGAAATGCTTAGAAATGTTTCCATATAAATTAATGGTAATTGCTTCTTTGCTTTATGTCATTTCAGCTTACTAAAGATTCATAGAAACACTCTACTTTCGGAGAGTGGGGGAAACCTGTACATGCAGATCTGACTTAAACATTTCTACTTTAAAATTACACTGTTAAATAAAATAAGTAAATAAATAAAATTACACTGCTTATCATAACTTCATTACTCCAGATCTATCATAAGGTTGTGAAATTTCATAAAGCGAAGATGACACCTAAACAAGAAGCAGTTTTAATTGTACATGCAGTTCTTTT